GAAATGACAATGATAAACATGTTCACTCTCTGCTTTGTTTGCTGTTGTGCCGGCAATTACCACTGAGCGTTCCAATGCATTACATACGTCACAGACCAGACAGCAGTGATTATTAAAATTTTTTAAAAGTACCTGCCTACTATCAAGCAAACGAATCCTAATGCTACGAGGTCAGACGGTTTCACTTCATGGAAACTGGCTGATAAATCAGGCTAATAAACTATGGCCAACAGCCAAAAACCTGTCATTTACATACATACTCAGTTTACTTGAACAATAAGAGTGAAGCATCTTATACACAGGGACACAAGCAAAACTCATTTAACTTTCTGTCATATACTTGAATTAGTTTGTTAAGCATTGCTTTGGTACTCTTCATATCTTTACCATTCCTAGATAAGGTTTACAAAAGATACACTAATGGGCTTCTACCTATTGGGACTGGACAGACAGGAGTAACAAGTGACGACACTGTGATTATAACACCATTGTAATTGTATAGTGCACCTTTCATATTCACTGTGATAATTCAACCTTGGCCAAACAAAGCTGAGTAAACATTCACTGCCCTTTTATTGGTTTCACGTTTTATGACCTGCAGGAAAACAGATAGTTAAATAAAGTCAAATGTATACAGGAAGTGCTGATTTGTCTAGCAGCATTCATCATAATAGAAACCCTGCACCCTGAGGTAAAGCCTGTATCTGCTCACGCGGCTGTGTTTCCACTACAAAGGGGAAGGAGACACACGAGGTGTATGGGGATGTAAACAAGGTCAGGCTGAACATATAGCACTGACTATACACTGGTTTAAGAATGATGAGGAATTAGGTCAGTTAGCATTTACAAACTTAAAACAATTTCAGTCTTTTTAATGGAAAAAAAATCCTCAAAATGTTGAAAGAAAGATGTAATCGGTAAATGTTTTAAGTCATACTTTTTCTCTGTAGAGATATTATTGCTTTGTCTGGAATGTTTCACAGTATGGCACTAAACCTTTCTGTTTTCATGGAGACAAAACCAGACCAAGTTACAGGTCAGATCTGTGGAGAGGCACCCCCGCTCAGAGTCAGAATGTTTGTTTTTCTTGATATTTTTAGGTATAAAAAGGAATAAATGTAAGGTAGAGCTGTTTAATGGCATACTGTGGAACATTTCAGGCAGAGTAATGAGATAGGAACAAGCAGGTGATGGACCCCCAACCGAAAAGTTACATTTAAATAGAAATCTTTAATGCATACTTCTACATAATAATGAGATGGCGTGTCCAAATTTTTGACTGGTAGATTCACAGGTTTTATAGATTAAAACATAACAGACAAAAGCATAAAACTTTACTTTAATACATTACTGGACTTGTTGACTTTGCGTTTCCATGTTTTCATATTTTTATCACTGTATTTTGTCCACATATTTTTCAGGTGCTAAACAGACTGTGAAAGACTCTGGGGGATGAGCCAGTATTTTGCCAACTTCACATCCCATTTCCTCCAGGTCTGTGTGCCATTTTTATCCCCACGTGAGGGGCTCAAACATGGCTAAGAGCTGCGCCGCCCCCTGCCCCTTGACACTGGCTGCTGGTTCACCACTGATGGCAGTAAATAACAAGGAGCAGATTCTGCCAAATGCCAAGTTCAGTCTGTCCTTGTTTACGTACTTATATCTATAATTAGACAGAAACACTTAATAGCGGATAATTTTATCTTTTTTATTAGTAAGGGTAAAGTGTAATAGAAGAATTATGGCTTGTTAGAAGTACATAGACAAGTGGGTCATCTCATAACTGCAGCTATTTTGCGTAAGGCTTTGAGACCTGATATAATCCTGGTGTAGACCTGGCTTGATACTGCTCCAGACCTGGTTTTGTCTTGAGTTTGACCTAGTTTAGTGCTAGTCCAGACCTGGTTTAGTCTTGGGATAGACCTGGATTAGTGCTGAAAATAAAATAAACTTAAATTTGAACTTGAATTATAACCTCATAACATATCTACACCTTTATATACAGTTTTACAACACTAAGGTATGAAAAAAAGGAAAACCATTGCCAGTTACAATTCCTCATATTGAGTAGATTCCCAAATACTTTTTGCTTGGACCACTACTTTGTACTTTAACTTGAGTAATATTATTTTTGACTCAACAGTACTCTTACTTGTGTACAGTTTAATACTCTGCCCGCCTGGGATCCCAGTGTAGAGTGAAGGTCAAACCAACAGTAGTTAGTTCATTTCTCATTTCTCACACACCTTGTTTTATATTGTATTGTCAGTTTGAGCCCATGTAACCCTGGTGATGGGGTTTCTGGTAACTTCTGCCACATCACTGTAGCCTGACTGGCCTGTTTGTGTAAGGGGCTCTCCCCGAGGACAATGTGAATGAGGGGCTTGTTGGAGGTCGCATTAGTGAACTTTAGATCAGCCTGAACCTATTGTACCGGAGCAGGGAGCGTGACATGAGCCACAGAGTACAGTAATGTGGACTAGTCAGGGAAAAGATGACTGTGTGAGAAATGCATTCAAGGAGACGTATTATGCAAAATTGACTTGTCAGAGCTTTTAATCATGTTATAGTTATCCCCCCCTCCTCATCTACCCTCTCAAAGTTGTATTTGAAGTGATTCGTGCACTTTTGAGTATTCTTTATTCTCCAGCATTCAAGACACTATTGCTCTTATCACTTGACAAATGAAAAGAAAAAAAAGGCTGCCGCTTGCTAGTGTGATCTATGGTTAGTCGTAGGAGAGCCCGACTTTACTAAGTAAACCCTAGTGTTTTACAGAACAATAAAAATGCATTAAAATCATAATTCTAACAAATAAAAACATCAATTATCATTTTAAAATAATTTTAAAAGAGTAATTGTAAGATTAAGAGTACTGACATAATCTGATTTTAAATTCATGTACTACTTGGAAATACAATGATTCAAATAATGTGCAAAATCAGATGTTTTCAAAGGATAGACCACAAAATGAGGAAAAAGTCAATCCTATCAGGAGATTACTTTAAACTAACTTTAACTTAAACTTAAACATATATATATATATAAAAAATATAAATAAAATATAGTAAATGACATAGTGTAATCTGAGAAGTACACTTTCTTTAAAATGTAAGTAAAAGTAACCTAGTGTGACCCACCTGTGATAATAGGTGTATAGCACATTTTTGTTTCACTTTCTGTTTTAGAACAAAACTCAGTAAGGGCTGTACAGTGTTTCCTAAGCACTCAGGGTGGGTCCAGGGGATTTCCTCTAAATGAAGGACAATAACTTTCTGTTCGAGGTTAGAGGCCTTAGAGGGGGTCAATAATCATGTTTCATCATTTTTAAAATATGCACAATTATAAATACAATAGAAAAGATGATTAAGAAGAAAATACAACTTTAATGGCACATTTGAGCACATTTGGGATGTGCATAATCTGATTATCATTCTCAGGGTTATCGGGATTTCTTTCTGACAATATCTACACTATTCTTTTATAGATTTGAGTAAAACGACTCTTTCTTTCTTGTTAGAATGGGCTGTCAGGAAATCAATACTCAGATACTACTAAAACGATTGTAACTAAATACTGACTTGGAGTGTCAATGCTGAAATAAATCAGTAAAAAGGATTACATTTTTCACCTTATGATGTCATGTAGTGGTAGTTTTCAAGGTAACAACTAGCCCCACCTTTTCTTTTTGTTCAGTGAAGATTGGAAATTCCAGGGCTGACAATGTTTATGGAGTTTAAGAATACACTCCCTGTATTGTCACATGATATATATATATATATCATATTCTTATTTGGTCTCCTCCTCCTTGTCTCCATGGAAATGTTGTTTCTTTGGCTTTTATATTTCACAGTATGGCATAAAACATATTTATCTCCATGAAGAACTTTCTGAAGTATGGTTGTAACTTTCTATTTCCATGGAATCATGCAGGCAACGTGACCTCCTTCAAAACGTTATACAGTGTTGCTTTAACATGGACAGAAAGAGAAATTAGACAAACTGAAAGACCAATAAGTGACTGTGAACCTTGAATAAACAAATGTACTACGAGTAGCTGAACTTGTTTAGACCACATCATTCTAACCTGCTAATGCTAATTATAGATAAAGGACACTAGGGCGACTGGAGGTAATCTGCTTCCTGTGTCTCCTTTGGTTTTAATCCTGGAGAACTGGAACATCAGAGATTAGGCCAGTCTCAGATTAGATTGAAACATCTACTGACCTGCACAGAGCCACTACTCTACTGGCATTCAACTTGTACGAGCCTCGTGCAGCTTTTACAAGAGAAGAAAGAATTAAGAAATATGATATTGCAATATAATATGACTAATATTTGCCATGTGTTAAATACAGTGCACTGCAGAATGTATTCCTTGTCAGCAGAGCATGTTGTAATATATGGGCTTTGGCACGAGACGACAGCAGGAAATGCTTGTGGAATGTGAAGTATACAGGCCTTAAGCACATAAGCTCATTTTGACAGGTTCATTTCATAAACACATGCAGACACTTTCACTCAATAAAATATTTGGTCTGGAGCAAGAGGTGGGATGGGAGCTGGGGCTGTCACGTTTCTTGAAAACAATGCTATTAGGGAGTAACAGCCTAACAGGACACATAATAAATATGTCAGGAAATGATCCTCAGTTCTGAAGCCAGTCCACACATCCCTGCTCAGGACCTCTGTCACATTTTGAATATAATGACATTTAGCATTGGTCATTTCCACATGTGAGCATGCTCATAGTGGTCTCTGCACACACATGTGTCCTCTCAGCTGTACATTAGAAATCGGAGTGTTTTGTTTTGGAGCAGTGTTTTTGTGCTCCCCTCCCCCTGCCTCCTCCGCTTCCTCTTTGTTTGCCTGCGCCTCTCACGCGCCTGGCTCCTCCTGGAGACAGGAGCTGCTCTCTGATTGGCTCAGAGCCTCAGGGGGCGGGATCAGAGCTGCTGTTTTTCTCCCCGCAGCTCTGGGCAGACGTCAGATTATTCGGTAACAGCGGGCAGAAGAGCAGCGCTCTGTCCGCTGCCTAAAAGCGCCTTTAGCTGCTTTACGCTGCACCAAAAGCCTTTTAATAACATTAGATCAAACGTAAAAACACGTCCGGCCCCTCACATCGCCCTGTCGCGTGAGGAGTTAGACGCTATCTCAGGATCTTAGCGATAAAGGAGAAACGTCTACGTCCGTGCCGTCCTTCAGTGAGGCCTTTGTTTTTCACGGCTGAGTAGGGGAACAATAGCGCCCCCTGCGCGCACCGAGGAATAGTCTGAGGATAGGGAGCCACAGCGGCCGAACCAGCAGCCTCCCGATCAACGTGGGACCCCTCAGCTCAGCTGTCCGATGCGGGGAGAGGATGAGTCCCGCTCTGGAAGTGCTCATGCAGGCGGACGGAGCTTCTTACGGGAAAGGCGTGATGCTTGAGCCCTTTGTGCACCAGGTGGGGGGCCACTCGTGCGTGCTCAGGTTCGGGGAGCAGACGATATGCAAGCCCCTGATCCCACGGGAGCACCAGTTCTACAAGAGCCTGCCTCCGGAGATGAGGAAGTTCACCCCGCAGTACAAAGGTAAGACCAGGGCTAAGGCTGGACAGTCAGAGGAGACTGTCAGTGGCGTGTCAGTCAGTGTCAGTCAGTCTCGGTCTTTCTGATGACCACTTATGTCACTATTTGTTTTGTATGGAAGATCGCACTTGGCATCATTAATCTTTGTCTATTATAATTTTGAATTGATTCCACAGTGTAGTTTTTGTCACTGTTGTTTTGGTGCAGTGTGATGGTTGGATGCAGAGGCTGTGTTGTGTGATGCCATAGTTAAAGGCCTCTGCATCACTCATTCCCGTCCACACTAAATCCGTTCTGATCCATTTAGAGTCCGAGACATTCCTGTTTGCTCTGGTCAGCTGCAGTGTTATGTTATTGATAGACGGGTAAGACAGGTCCCTGCATATTTGGCTTGTAATTTTTCTGGATGGGACCAGACAATATTCGCGTACTAGTGGTGCCAGTCAGGAGGAGGCAGCGCTGCGTTGGCCTCCCTTTAAAGGGGGCTTAAGTTACACCTGTGGGTCTTGGGTTTCTGCCCTATCAAAAATAAATGGGAGCACGCATCGCTAGAGTCATTCACAAGGCAGTTTTCTACGTCAAACATTGCTGCACATACACATGCTGTCAAATGATGGATCCTGTTACTCTAGATGCCTTTAGGTGTCAATGGCACGCAGCCTAGACAACGTATAGCGGAACATAGCAGCCCGGATGTCATAATCAGGTATATGAACGAGAAAGTAGACTCATTCAAAGCAAAAGAGGAACACATAAAATACATACTGTATGAAGCGAAGATATACGGTAATAGACATTTATAGACATAAGCTAAGATAGTCCTCCTGACCAAACCTGGGCGCTGCTTTGGTTGTCCACCATTCCTCCTGACAGGTGGTTAAGAGACATATAAGGATGGGTCAAATGTAAAGGACAAATGTTCCAAAGGGGACAATGGGTCTGCCTTAACCATAACAAGCTGTCAATAGTTAGTTGTAACTAAAAATACCCTTTATTTATGTGACTTTGAAAGATAAAGCAGATCCAAGTCTATTGTTTATAGGTACACATGTGTTTTCTGGTGGAAGGTCCATGGATTACATCAAATGTTATTGCATTGTCTGGAATCTTCCACAGTTTGGTATTATCTTTTCTAACTCATTGAACTTATCTGTGTTTATTTATTCATTTACAGGTGTTTTTATTCCCAAAAATAGTTGGTTTAGCAGAGTCACATGCTTGTCTCTATGGAAATTAGCAACATTTATGCCATTATGCGGAACATTCCAGGCAAAGCAACATCTCAATGAAGATAAAGAAGGATTCAGACCATCTATGTAAAAGTTAATTTTCATAGATGTAATATTATCGGGCAACAAGAAGGCCTCATATTTTCTATTCTTAAACCAGTTTAATTGCTTGGCATCATCAGTAATATCGAGGTATGGTTCGATTACAAGTTCCAGCAGGTTGTAACTGAACTGTGGGATCCGCTTGAAATCTGTGATACATTTGATTGGCCTTGCGGTGTAACGGATATGTTTAAAGACGTACAGACTGACCATCTGACGCGATTGTGAGGGCCCATGGGAAACCAGCGGGCCTGAGAAAGTTCACAAGTCAATCCTGGACCAAGCATCAGGACAAGATGAAGAAGCAATGTTTTGGAATGTAAACAAAACATTTCAGACTATTAATCATTTAAAAATCTGCACTGCCTAAATTCTGTGTTCAATGTAATAGAATTGTAATTGAGCTTGTAATAACAAAAAAAAAAATAAGAGGGAAGGTTTCATAGTTTTAATGATGTGAAAAAATTGCAAAGGTGTGGCAAAATCTCCCTGCAACCAAATGACATCATTACCAAACGTGTAGTAACTAAGCAAGAGTGTATGCAAAATAGACATGTCAAACCAGCTGTTCAAATCGTTATGAATTACTAAAGAAATCACATGGCATGACACATCCACAATATCCCCGTAGGCTAAATTAAGTAGTTAAAGTAACGCAATTGAAATAATATGTCAAAAGTTAATAAGCTGTTTTAATAAAATAATTGACAAATACAAAAACAACCTGTTTGACCTCTCCATGTTGACCTATGATGTACTATCACAAGGTGGATTTTAACAGCACAGTGTTTATTTAATAGTTGTGTAAAGCAAATATTAACACAGCAACTATTTAATGTCTTTATAATATGTTATGAAACCATTAGAATGTAACTTTCTGTTTGGCAATTGTAGATAACACATTTCAAATCAGTCCAGTGACTAAAAGAAATGTATTTAACAGAATGGGACCTATATAATATTTCCAAAACACTTTTTAGTTACTAGTTTAAATATTTTCAGACATGACATGACTAGTAGTTAATCAATTTGTGTGTCAGGATTAAATTAGGTTAATAATTTATACAACTGTTTCCCCAAACTATCATGTTGAAATTAAAGTGGCAGTCAAGCAAGGTTAACCAAATCAGGTTAACCTAATAATTATTAACAACTAATAGTATTATCAACGTCATTATCTCAACGTAGCATAATGATAAAAGCTGACAGTGTATTATAAAAGTATTCATTTCTGCCCTGTGGACTCTTTTTTATGTGAACGGTCCTTTTGTCTGAATGCAGTGACTCAGAAATTCCCACACTAACAGCGCCTGTGGATCGATGACAGTGCAGTTTGGAGCACGGTCAGTGAGGGGCGGAGTGCACGGCAATGATGTCAGCAAAAGGGGACGCGTTCGAGCAGTAGTGGTGGTGTCAGCAGCACGTGACTCTAGCCGTGGTTCTGAAAGCATGGAGGGTAACATTTAAAGGACCGTAGCAAGATGGCTGAAACATTATAGATTTTATAGGTTGAACAGTGATGGTATATGGGTGTTCTGTATGGTTAAATCTAGGTCTTGAATAGACTTGTGGTGAAATGGATATGGTTAAAGACCTATAGAGGCTAAGTTACATGGGTTTAAATGGCCATAGGAAAACCAAACTTTAATAATTGATGTAATGCCTACCAACATATTTGATACTGACAGGATCTACTGTGAAATATACGTTCATGAAGTTATTCTGTAGTATCTCAACTCTATGTACCACACAATTTAATATTTTCTTGAGGCAGGGATCCAGACTATGTAACATTTCTATTGCCTGGAATGTTCCAAGGCACGGCATTAAACATATTTACCACAGAGCTCAATATCCCGTTGGTGACAAGCAAGTGGCAGACCTTCCAGCAGAGAAAAGTACATGTGCAGCTTTAAATGTTATGATTTAGATGTCATTATTAGCTTTTATTTCACTTCCAGTATTTATTTTATTTCCAGGTATTACAATTTTCACCTGAGTTGTATGACATCACATAGTGGACTGTCAGTTTCTATCACTCTTTGGTTTTACCTCATCCTCCTCTTCCTCCTCCTCTGCCTTCCTCCTTCCTCTTTCCGCTGCAGCTGTGGTGTTCATTCAGTCCTCCCCCCTCTGCACTTTCAATCATACAGAGGGCTATGTCAGGGCTTTAACCACAGTGGGATTAGGGAGGGAGAAATAAGGGTGGGTGGCCCAACTCGTAAATTAAGTCATAAATTTGGCTGTCCAAGATGGCACCAAGTAAGGCTGCCCTGGTGTTGTTGTGGTGCTCTAGGCAACTGATCTCCAAAAATAACATATTAAATTATCAACTAAATCAATGTGTGCTATAATTATAATAGTATAGAATAACAAGCATTTATTGCACAAATTAAAATCTCTGGTTTGATAAAAGTGCATGGGCTGTTATTCTCTTCTAAATGGTTATGTACAATCTGCTAGGACTGTAAGGGATCAATCAATATCAGGCTGAAAATGCAATTTAATTACTTGAATAGCTGAAAATGCCAATTTGCAAAGACTGCGATAATTTAAGTAACATAATATTGTCTACACGCAATAAAGTATCCAGGCTTATTAAATATAAAACCTACAAACACTGTAGTTAAGTGATTCTTGTATTTGTTTAGCAGTTCATATTTCAATCTCAAATGTTGTTAAAATTATAAAATGCAGTTTGAACAGAAATGTACTATTAAAACATGAATCTCAAATTTAGATATTAGTGCTTGGAAAAATCACTATTCAATATTTCTTCAAAAATTCAAGGCCTACCACCTGCTCCACCTGCTTTGTTAAACATGGTAAAAGCCCTCTTGAATATTCCTCTGTAAAGCAAATCTTCCTGGTAACTAAGGCACGTGGTCTGTTCTCAAGAGTGAGCATTGAGTCATGTTTACTCAGAAAATTGACTTTGCAGATGTAATGGTTGCTACACAGGATGTCACCCCAGTGTTAATTTGATGCTTGGTTTGGTCTCTATGGAGAAGGCAATTAGGATATGTCATCATTAATAAATCCCAATGAAATCTATTTGGCTGCATCCTTTCCTGATAAGGCATTGTGTAAGATTTGAGTACAGTACTTCTTGTAATTTGATTTGTCAAGATATGAAAAGTATATTTGCGTTTTGTCTATTTCCCATGATACACCTTGCATCATTCTCTGGTTCAGTAATGTTTAATAGGATTGCACAATGTAGAGCAGCAACTAGGCTTGTCATGATAACAAATTTTGAAGAGTGAAATTGTGTTACAAAAAAATCACAATAAATTAAAATAAATAAAACTTATGATTCCCAGAAGTTAAAACAGTTTCTCCAAAATATTGTTCCATCTGGTTTTAACACAATTTCTACAAAATTAGGACTAAACCAGGTCTAGACTAGGATTTAACAAGGTCTGAATATTTGAATTTGAATATGTATTATATTGTTTGTATTAATTTAGTAGTGAAAATATAACTTCACCTAACTGATAATGCTCCATCTTGTGTTGCAGGAGTTGTGTCTGTGAGTTTCGAGGAGGATGAAGAGGGAAACCTGTGTCTCGTGGCCTATCCTCTGCACACAGAGACCGGAGACCTGGAGAACAAGGACCCATCATCAGACTGCGAACCCAAAACAAAGATGCTCAAGTGGAGTAACAAGAAGCAGGCGCCCCTACTGGTGGATAACGACAACTACAGCAAGGAGAGATCCAGACACAACCGCAAAGAGGACAAACTAGCCAGGTGAGCACATGTACTGCCACATGTACTACCACTACTACTACTATTATTATTACTCTACCACTACAACGACCACTCCATTTAGATTTTCTATACTAATGTAGTGTTTTTCTTGTGTTTACAGTTACAATCGTGAGGAGGCGCAGCAGCAGCAGGCGGAGGTGCTGTACGTCAGTCTAGAGAAGAGCAGCATGTCTTCTCAGATCAAACACAACCCCTGGAGTCTGAAGTGTCATCAACAACATCTGCAGCGCATGAGAGAAAACGCCAAGCACCGCAACCAATACAGTATCCTTCACTAAACTTAATGAAAGACTGTTACCTCTGGGATATTAAAGTCATAACTATCTCTCAATCTAACTATCTAATCAACAACAAAATATCATGTCTGATCCTGCTTAAAAACAGTAACAACAACACCTTTAAATCAAATTGCAATCTAATCTAAATTTCCCAAATCGTTTAGCCTTTCTCAGTTATAAAATGTGAATAAATGTATGAAAAAAGATGTGAATATGCAGAGCTGGTGTTGGCCTTAACCCACTTTACAGAATTTATCCTCCTGGAGAACTTGACGTGGCGATACAAAGTGCCCTGTGTGTTGGACCTGAAGATGGGCACACGACAGCACGGAGACGACGCCACAGAGGAGAAGAAAGCCAACCAGATCCGCAAGTGTCAGCAGAGCACGTCCGCCTCCATCGGGGTGCGCCTGTGCGGGATGCAGGTACAGTCTGAGCTCTGTGTTTTCACTGGGGTTTATCTCTGGGCCTTTTAAATATTTATTGTGGCTTAACTGTGTGAGTTTGACTAAAGCCCTCTCTCTCTCCTCAGGTGTACCAGTCGGACTCAGGACAGCTCATGTTCATGAACAAGTACCACGGTCGTAAGCTGACCCTGGCCGGGTTCAAAGAGGCGCTGTTCCAGTTCTTTCATGATGGGAGGCGCCTTCGCAGAGAGTTGCTGTCTCCAGTGCTGCGCAGACTGAGGGAGATGAAGGCTGCTCTGGAGGCCTGTGAGTCGTACAGGTTCTACTCCAGCTCTCTGCTCATCATCTATGATGGAGACCTGCCCCGCAGCAGGCCACGCCCCCGTGGCGGTGAGGAGGGTGAGGATGAACCATCTGACGAAGAGGAGCAGAGTGATGAAGATGAGGAGGGCGCCTGGTGCTCTGGCCCCAGCAGCAGCTCTGGGGCTGGGGGCAGCAGAGGCTCTGTGGGCTCTGAGAGTAGCAGTCCAGAGGTGGACGTGCGCATGATCGACTTTGCCCACACCACTTGTCGTCACTACGGAGAGGACAGTGTGGTGCATGAGGGACAGGACAGTGGTTTTATATTCGGACTACAGAACCTGATCTCCATCATCTCCCAGCTGGAGGACCACAGCGCAGATTAAACCTGTACTGAACGCTGGGCTTTGTTTGATTATTTGGGACGACTCTGAATCGACCCTGGTGCTCTGCGGTGTGTTCACCTCAACAGGAGCCCTCTGTGTGCAGGGCTCTATGCTGCCCCTTAGAGGACCGGCCCTTTGGGCCCGAGCTGCACTTTTCTCTCAGAGACTTCAGAGTCCGTGGGGCAAATTTAGGGGAGGGGGTAAGGTTGGCACCCCCTGTCGCCCCTGCCCCGTCTGATGGTGATTGAAGTTCTCTCTGAGAGAGACGGACTGTGCCAGAGGAGTGAAGTAGTATAGAACTGGTGCTTAACCTGTGACACAGTGTTTAGTGATTTGAACTCCCCAACATCACAGCACACTATCATCGGGGAACAGGCTCTTGCAGCCACGTAGCATTTAAACGTTACTCTCTGATAAGGACTGATGTTATTATTGTCATAAGACCCCGAGCATTTATTAGTGTGTCCAGTGGACATGTGGTGCAAGTCTATTACGGTGTAGAAGAAGGGATCGCCTTTCTGCAGCTGCGCTCTCATTGATTTTGCCTATGGACATTCTGAGGGAGTCGCACGCTGCTCTATTTCTATTTCTTTATTCGGTCAATGTCTTTGCTTCTGTCTTTCTCCTTTTCATTCCTCAAAGAGAATCTATTGTTTAAAGACTTTATAAAAAGACTTATTTATTTGACACTTTGTTTAAAACTGAAATGGAAACAGCTACATTCCATATGATCCAATACCACTTAATGTTGTTTTACTGACTTGATTGATTTTGTTATTGCCAGAGCCACTAGCTCTCCTGTACTGTGTGTTAACAGTGTCTTGATAAATAAAGGCATTCATTTGTGGTAAAAAAACAAACAAACTGTCTTTTTCATTTCTTCTTCAGATTCTAAATATGCTTACATTCATATGAGATATACATTGCATAATTTGTTAAAAAATATGTATTTATTTATTTATTATTATATATTATTATATATATTATTATATATGTGCAAATAAAGGGTTGCTCATTCAAATTACATAACCAGACTAAATGTCCCAATGTCAGTGTGGTCTGTCCTTGCTCTGGTTTTTCCTGTTGTCGTAATGGGGCGTTCCTTGTAAACCTCTGCACTTACAAACATGCGTCATTGTATTAGTTTTTCATTATTCAGACTTGTAAGAGTTTAAAGCTTAAGTGGTGGCGACTGGCACGCTTTAATCGCGATAATCTTTTTGTACACAGCAGAATTTTCCGGAGAGAGGTTTTGAAGTTAAGAAGGAAGTATTTAGTATTGTAAGCTACTAACTTCTGCACACAACACATGACAATGTACACTGCAAAAGAAGCTGTAAACACTTAAAACTATCAGAAAATGACTTAAAAGTAGTGAAATTATCTGCAAGATCATTTTACTTGACGAGTTGTCTCAAAATAAACTATATGTACCTCTAGACTAGAATTAAGCAGTCTCTGGTCTAGTCAGTTAGTAATAAATCTGAAAACAAATGTATGTTTTAAAATCTTGGCCAGGTCAGAGAAATTTGCAGTGTTCAGACCTTGACCACTCTCTTCTATAAGCTAGTTCGAAAGAGACGAACTAGAATTACACTGTCAAGTATATGTATATATATATAAGTATATATAAGTACATATAAGTATATGTATAAGTATTGTGTCTAACAAAAATTTACTCTTGTGATTTTTAAGTCATGTTAGAATGCTGTTACCTCCTAAAAAACATATCTGGAGATGAGTTTGTTCCATTAACACATGTTCCCTGAATTTTTCATTTGTCTACATCCCCAAAGGTCAACATGTTCTGTTCCATCTTGTGATGTCATGAAGGTGTTAACAGTTGCTACCTTTTACCTTTTGTTTAGTAGAGACGGGCAATTCCAGATCTGAAATAATCCAAATGACGCCACGTGAATTGTATACAAACATCAGATTTGCATAGAAAACATATTTATTTCTCACAATCAAATCAAGACTCTTTGGCAAATACACATAAACAGTACCTCTTCATTTGCCAGCCTAATATTTCAGTCTGCCCACCCAAATTTAGCAAGCCAGAACCAGTCCTGCTCTTAAGGTGTACTGACTCTTAAGGTTGTAATATGTTATCACCGTTTGTTATCCTAATCTCTTTGTGCTTTACAAACAATACTAACTAAAAATCATATAGAGTTATTGCATGTATTATAGTAAAGGGTATGGTAAATCAATGATATTTATGTCAAGAGCGGGATTTTAACTGCTAATCTTTGGATCAGTGGACAAACTTTCTGATCCTGTGAGTTACTGTATCTATCCAGCTTTAATTTCAAGCCTTTCCATCCATCCACCTACTACTCTACCTACCTACTTTTTGTTTTTGGAGCTAAGTTTTAGAATCATATCATGGAATTTTAACCAAACAAGAAGTGCAGCATGTGCAGTTCAAAGGGCTCAAGTAAGGGACTGTTGGATTTTGTGAAATGAGCTGTTTGTTTTTCCCGTATCCATGGAGACCGTGCAAGAGGCTAGGTAAGGATCTGCCAACCATACCTGGCCAGTCCTCCTGTTGAATTGCATTGAGAGGATTAATAAAGTATCTCTCTCTCTCTAGTGAAAAACAGTCCCATTATTATACTCGTTCAAAGGACAGGTTCAGGTAAAGAGTACATGTGCAGAGTAGTGGCGTAATCTTAGTTTTCCGTTTACCCACATTTATTCAGTGTGTACAAACAGATTGCACACAAATCTGTATGATTAAGTAACACAAAATAGCATGATAATAATTGTATTTATATAACACATTTCATATTCCAAACACAGACTCAATGTGCTAGTGCAATATATGAACAAATACATTTGAAGGACCTGGAATACAATCATGGAATATATAAAACCAAGTTATAAAAACAAAGAAAATGAAAAACCAGCCTGTAAAGATAAACAGGTTTTAAACCTAGTTTGAAACACAGTGGCAGTGTCAGCAGTTTTTACGGTAATTGGCACAGACTTCCAGGATATTAGTCACAGAACATGATGGCACCCTCACCAAATAAGGCACAAATTCTGACATTGCATATTTTTATTCTCTGAACACATGAAACCTCAAGATGAAGTAATAGTATTCGACAATGATGAGTAAGTACACAATAAACGGAAATGTGTTTTTCAGCTACTAGTTCTGTTGATTCATCATACAATTGATTAAACATGTATTACAACTGCTTTCTTGGACTTTTGCCTTTGTTGTGATGTGCGTATGCTTCCAACACTTTGAATGGAGGCATGTAATCACAAGGTGTGTGGTATGTAGCAAAACCAGCTGAGTCAAGAGTGGCACATGTTGGCACACCTTAGCAGGGGAATCACCATCACAGAATGTGGCGTGATGGAAATCTAGGAAATACAGGTTTGTGTATGTAATTATAACCTCATTCTTGTTCCTTGTACACACCTATTCTCTAATTGTTGTTATAAATGTGCTATTCAAATACATTTCACCTTGACCTTGGTCTAGATTTCATCAGAGAGTGACTTGTAGGCCCAAGTCGATGGTTAAAGGGTCACGTTTTTATACAGCGCTTCTCTACCTCCAAAGCACACACACACAGTCACACACCAGTGTTCACAGACAATAGGGGGCGAGGTGGGGTAAGTGTCTTATCCAAGGACACAATGGCAGCATTCATTTGTGGGAGCTGGAATCGCACTGCCAACCTAGAGGTCAGTGGTTTTGAGCGCTCTACCAATTATGTTTATGTCGAGAGCGGGATTTGAAAAGCCAACCTTCTGATCAGCAGTCAAAACCCTACCAATTAAGTCTAAGTCAATGGCATATGTGTATATTAGAACTAGGCTTGTACCGATATAACACATTTTCATGGTATCAGTATCAGCGAGTACTCCACACCCATACCACGCTGTATTTTTCTGAATGACGACCCGTAGATGCGAGCTCTGCTGTTGATGTGCGTGGATGCTACTTCTACAGCTCAGAGCAGGTCAAATACACACTGTGGGGGCTTTGAAAAACATGCAAATAATAACAGGAAAGACATTTGTGTTCTCTCTTTGATACCTTCATTTGGCCTTTGGTGCAGACGCTGTGGCAAAGTGACAAAGTAGAAAAATAAAACTGCTTAAATCAGCCCAACTCATCAATATCGTTTATACACATACATTTGACTGTAGAACTATAGACAAAATTTTCTTTAGAGATAGTCTTTAGATAGCTAGTTATTTTCACTCTTCACAGTTCACACTATGTGGTATTGGACTGGACTCGATATTGCCAAGTACACTGAGGCCAAGTGTCAGTATTGGATCAGATCCCTCCAAAAATGGTATCGGAGCAGCACTATTAGTAATTATAACATGTGTACTTAAAAAAGCTCATACATATCTCTGCTGTGTCGTTAAAAAAATACAATTTTGTCAAAAAACAAGTTTGTTAGAATTGCAGAAAGACAAAAAAAATTATAATGATTGGAATAAAGACTCAGATTAAATAGATCACATTGTTTTCAAAGTGCTTTACAACAACTGATTCTCTTTCTCTTCACATATAGTATCAGACAAACTGCTCTCCATCATGGACACTCCAGCTCACCCACTGCACCAGACTATAGAGGGGCAGATAATACTCCCTACAACTGTACAACAACTCACCCACTGCACCAGACTATACAGGGACAGATAATACTTCCTACAACTGTACAACAACTCACCCCCCGCACCAGACTATAGTGGGACAGATAATACTCCCTACAACTAAACAACAACTCACCCACTGCACCAGACTACAGACGGACAGAGGAGCTCATTCTCCAACAGGCTCCTACAGCTCCACTCAAACAGTGAGAGATACAGGACTACATTTATACTATAATACTCCCGACAACTGTACAACATTTCACCTTTATGTAACAGATAATCCTATGTCATGTCAATCACTGCTTTCACTGTTTCACTTTGCACTGTTTCTCTTTGTTATCATATTATATTGTGATGTGTGAGCTACTGTGTTCACGTAATTTCCCCTAATAAAGTTTGCCTAAGTCTAAGCTGCCTTTGAACAGACTGACTCAAATGCTTACCAGTGATTTTTATGACTACCCTTTATCACTCACACTGGCAAACACAAGTAAAGTGTTTTGCTTAATGACACAACGACAGAATGAACTGCATGGCAAACGTCACAAACTGCCAACCATTTGATTATAAGATGACCACTCTGCCACCTGAGCCAATGTCACTCCCAAATGTTTTATGTTGTAAATAGCAAACCTGACAAACTGAGTGAGACCCCATCCACACTAGTACATATTCGAGTCATTTTCATTGCAGATGCCATGTTCGTTCACACTAATCCGATGGAAAACGGCTCCAGAGTTGGAACGTTCTGGTGCCACCAGCTCCCATGAATTCATCTGAGTACGGATCTGATCAGGCACTGTGTGGACACCTGAAAACGCTGATACACTGACGTAGGAGCTCTAGTTGTCATCCTTATTGGACCATGTCATTGTGATTTGCGCCTTCCCGATTCACTGGGATCGTGACATCAGTCAAGTGATGCTATTGTGGAAAACTGTTTAAACAAACCATAGACAAACGGGAAACAGCATAGGTAGAACTACTTGCTAGTAGAAAAGACTGTTTTCACACTTGCCATCTTCCTCAGCTCAAAATAGGCTGCTGCAACCTTCAGACACGGTGCTCCACTTCTTTGTTTTTACTGCCGTCATCATGATGACGTGACGCCAGCCTAGTCATGTGACTGGAGTTTCAGGCAGTTTCACGTTACTGTGTGGATCATGTCTGGATGCAAATCGTTTCCGATATGGTGATAAGGTCATTTGTTTTTGTAAACGTAACCTGAG